CAGTTCTGGAGCTGTCCAGGCATGTCTGGATGGTCAATTGTCTAACTTAAGCAGAGCCAGTCACACCCCGTGTACGGCTATGATGAAGCCTGGGACCTCCTGAACACCTCAGATTAAGAACCCCTGAAAGGGGGCTTCCGTGGTGGTCCAGTGGTTGGGAATCTACCTTGCAATGGAAGCGACACTGGGTTGGATCGCTGGGCTGGGAAGATCCCACGTGCCTGGGAAGATCCCACGTGCCTGGGAACAACCAAGCCCATGCATCACAAGGAGAGAAGCCGCCGCACTGAGAAGCCCAGCACCACAACTAGAGAGTATCCCCTGCTGGCGGCAACTAGAGAAAGCCTGTGCCCAGCAACGAAGTCCCAGCACAGTCAAAAATAAATATTTCAAAAAAGAAACATGTAAACAGAGAGGGAGATATTAAAGAAAAAAAAAGAAATAACACATTATTATTCATGTTTTCACCTCAACTAAGTCATTTTGTGGAAGAAACTATATGTTCAAATAGTCAACTGATTCACATGACAACCTTGGGGAAAATGTTATTTATTAACAAGTACTGGGAAGTAGTGCAATTTCATTCTTCGATACCTTTTTTATGGACGTGTTGGAAGGCAGCATGGATAAAAGAAATTCACTAAAGTGTATAACAAGTGAGGGAGAAGGGAACATACTAGGTAGGAAGCATTTTACAACTGATGAGGAGACAAATATCTGTGAGTCCAATTGTTTTGTTATAGTTATTCATTCATATTATAGTTTCCACATATAAGTGAAAGCATACAGTATTTGTCTTTTCTCTGTCTGACTTATTTCACTAAGCATATTACCCTCCAGATTCATTTGTGTTGTTGCAAATGGCAAATTTTTGTTCATTTTTATGGCTGAATAATATTCCATTGTTAGTTAGTGTAAGTTGCTCAGTGGTGTCTGACTCTGTGATTCCATGGACTGTAGTTTCTTTGTCCATGGAATTCTCCAGGCAAAAATACTGGAGTGGGTTGTCATTCCCTTCTCCAGGGGATCTTCCCAACCCAAGGATCAAACCCAGGTCTCCTACATTGCAAGCGGATTCTTTACCATCAGAACCTCCAGGGAAGCCTAATATTCCATTATACATATATTCAATTAGACACACACACACCAAGGAAATGGCGACCCACTCCAGTATTCTTGCCTGGGAAATCCCATGGACAGATGAGCCTGGTGGGCTATAGTCCATGGGGTCACAGAGTTGGACATGATTGAGCAACACACATCCACACACACACACCCCCCACAGACATAGAGAACAAACTAGAGGTTACCTGTGAGAAGAGGAAAGGGGGAGAGGCAAGAGATTGGGGTATGGGACTAAGAGATACAACACAATATGGTAAATCAACTTCAACAAAATTTAAAAACTATACCTGTTTAATAAGTGATTTGGTAATATGCATCAAGAACATATTCATACACTTTGACCCAGTAACTTTGTCTTTCTTTTTCTACCTAACTGGAGAAAAATATTTATTCTGTGGCATTATTTGTAAGAGAAAATACATCATTGGAAACTTGGATGTTGAACAATACTAATTATGGTATGTGTTCGTGCAATAATATTCATGAAGGTTTAAGGTTGAGTAACAGTATGTATACTTAATTCAACAAGACAAAGCAGAATGTAAAATAATGTATTCAGTGTGAGATTTGTAAATATGCATATAAACATATAAAATGTGCATATAATTAAACACAGACTATCACAGGTGTTATGTTCACTCAAAATGTATTAGCATTATTAATACCCCTTACAGATGAGTAAGTTACTGTTCAGAGAGATGAAATAAGTTTCTGGAATACTCCTCAAGTGGTAAATTGTGAACTCATGAACCCCAGTTTTGCCTGGTTTCCCCAAACTGGTGAAATTACAGTTTTGTCTGGTTCCACTGAACAAGAATTTAACAGTTACCTTGACTCCCTGGGCATCGAAAAGTCAACCAAAATTGTCAGTGAGCAGTGGGATTACAGGTGGTTTACTTTTTTTCTTCACACCTTTCTTCATTTTGCAACATATTCCAGAGAAAATATATGCAGATTAAATATTTAAACTTTTATATTTGAAACTAAATAGTGAACATATTTGTAGCATGCGCTAGATAAAAGTTGATCACAACCAATGTGCAAAAAGCTCCTATAAATTGATAAGAAAAAAGATAAATAACTCAAGGGAGAAAAATGCAATTCAGAAACCCAATGGCTAGATTCAATAGCCAAAAGATTCAACATATTCCTAGAAGTTAAATTAAAACCATGCTGGGACATTCTGATGAACCAGTAGTTAATACTCCATGCTTCTACTGCAGGGGACTTGGTTTCAATCCAAGAACTAAATTCCCACATGCCTTGTGGTGTGGCAAAAAAAAAAAAAAAAGCCAAAAACGAAAAAAAAAAAAAACCAAAACAAAAAACATGATATGAGATACCATTCTCCATCTTATCAAGTTGGCAAAAATTTTAAAGATTCATAATATCCACGAGCTGGTGGGGAGATGGGAAAAGAGGCACTCTTACCCACCGCTGGCAGGAAGGGGGCTGTTCTGGTAGGATCTATTAACACTACATACGCATATGGTTTGACCTGGAAATCCCATTTGTACCATTCTGCCTAATAGAAATCAAAGCACCACTTGTAAGGATATATGTTTAGGAATAATTATTGTGGCATTATTTGTAGAAAGGGAATTGGAAAAAGCATGACTATCCACCAATATGAAAATAATAAATCAAAATCTATCAATTCAGTGGACTATCAGGCTGTCATGAAAAAGAACTGGATCTATAAGTAATGGAGTGTAAAAAGGAATAGATAGAGTACTGTGTATAGTATCACTACTGAAGTGTGATCTATCTCCCAGCAGCACTGGCATCATCTGGGAGCGTGTTTGGAAATACAGAATCTTGTCCTCATTCTTTTTTTTTTTTGATGTGGACCATTGATCATCTTAAAAGTTTTTATTGAATTTGTTACAATATTGGTTCTTTTTTATGTTTTTTAGGCTGCGAGGTATGTGGGATCTTAGCTCCTCGACCAGGAATCGAACCTACATCCTCTGCATTGGAAGGAGAAGTCTTAACCACTGGATCACCAGGGAAGTCCCTTGTCCCCATTCTTGACCTACTGAACTGGAATCTGCATTTTAACAAGATTCTTTACAGAAACACCAGTGTTTAGTGTGATCCTATAAAGGGGAAGCCTTCTCATGTGTCATGGCAAAAATGGATAATCATCTGCCAAAGTCCGACCTTTCCTTCTACATTAACTTCTCGCTTTTAGCTGGGTGCAGGGCCACCAGGGGCAAAGATTATGTTTCCCAGTCTTTCTTGCAGTTGGGTGGGACCATGTGGCTGAGCTCTGGCCAAGAGGACAAGACTGGAAGTGAAGAGGGTCATTTCTGCATTGTGCCCCTAAAAGGGACATTGCCCGAATCCCGCTGGTTGTTTCTTACTTACATTGTCTTTTTTTTAAGTGTGCACTCATTTTATTTATTTATTTTTGGCTCTGCTGGGTCTTTGTTGCTATGAGGACTTTTCTCTAGTTGTGGTGGGCTACTCTTTGATGTGATGCAAGGGCTTCTCATTGCGGTGGCTTCTCTCGTTGTGCAGAACCCCTCTAGGGCATGCGGATTTCAGCAGTTGCAGCACACGGGCTCTAGAGCACAGGCTCAATGGTTGTGGCTCACAGGCTTAGCCACTCTATGGCACTGGGATCTTCCTGGGCCAGGGATCAAACCCGTGTCTCCCGCATTGGTAGGTGCATTCTTTATCACCGAGTCACCAGAAGCCCTGTTTCTAACTCTCTGCTAACTGAAAGCTATCAGTCACAGTATCAGCCACTATATGAGTCTGTTCAGCTGCCATAACAAAGTACAACAGTCAGAAATTAACTTTCTTCCAGTTCTGGAGGCTGGAGAATCCAAGATTAAGATCTGGCAGGGTGAGACCTCTTTATGGCTCCCAGGCTAATGTTTTGTTCCATCTTCACATAGCCTTTCTTTGGAGTGTGTGTGTGTGCATGTGTGTGTGTGTGTGTGTAGAGTTCTCTTTCTTTGTGTGTGTATGTGTTTACTTTTTTCTTTTTCTTTTTAAAGACCACCAGTCTTTTCAGATTAAGGCTTCACCCTTTTGACCTCATTTAACCTTAATTACCCTCTAAGTCCATGGGGTCATAAAGAGTTGGACACAACTGAGTGACTGAACTGAACTGAAAGGCCCTGTTTCCAAATACAGTCATGTTAAAGGTTAGGATTTCAACATATGAATTTGGATGGGGGACACAATAGACTCCACAGCAGTCACCTGTGACTCAGAGCTAGAAACTGCTGCAAAGAATGCCATTTCTCTCACCTGCTTACCGCTAAACTGTTAGATGAGAGACAAACTAGTACATTATTCAAGACTTTGTACTTTGGTTCTCTTTGTTACCGCACCTTAGACTGTTTCCTAACTGACTCTTACATTTGTGTTCCCCAAGGTCCACTGAGCAAGAAGAAACATAGGAAATGAAGCCCTCTAAATGGTTACTGTTGATTGCTACAAGGGTGGGAGTGCGGAATGAATTAAGAGCATTGAGGTAAAAATTATCCAACAGCATTTTAAGGTTTACAATCATACCCAACATTCAATGACTATCGGAAACATGATTATTTTCCCTTTTGTAAGACTCCTTATAGCAGGGTTCTTACTTATACTGAAACACACATATTCCAGCCCTTCATACATACCAGTTTCCCTTCTTCCCTCCCTCCCATCTTCCTTCTATGGCGGGGATGCCGTGCCCCAGGGCAGGCCAGGGAGTCAAGTCAAATCAGGCAGGCCAAGTCAAACAAGCACAGTCTTGGTGCCACTGGATTGTCTTTCCAGAGTTTTATTTTTAGTTCTCCGATCCATACTCCAAGGGATTTCCTTGTGACAGGGAGGAATTTCCACAGGGCCCTTGGAAGGTGTTCTCAGCCTACCTACTGGTAAAATGGCATCAAGGGCCCCCATCGGTTCAACATGGGAACCTTGACTGTACAGTGAGAAGGGCAGGCACAGCCGGGCAGTAGAAAGTAGCCTTTGCCCACGTCTGGGGCAGGCTGGCGCTCAGGCTCCAGAAGACAGGGGAAGTCGGCACCCTGTCGAATCCGGTTCGGGTCGCTGTGGGCCAGGTACAGGGCATGAGAAGCTGGGTACACAGATGGACAGACGCTGGTGAACCTACATTCATCCTCCACTGGGGCCACATGGTCCTGTGGTGGGAAGAAGCCAGGTTGCCCCAAGTCCTTGGCCGTCATGTGGGGTCTTTTGAAGGCAGGGTATCCATCTTCTAGCTTGGGTTTGGGGCTGGGGGTGGGTCTGTAGAACTCTTTATCTCGGAGTTGGGTGTCCAGCTTTGCTTGCTGTGGAAATAAATCATACACAAAAATAAGGCTGAGAGAGGCAACAATGGAGCTTCTTCCCAGGAAGTCTCCAAGACAGAGCACACTTGGGACTTCCCTGGCAGTCCAGTGGTTAAGACACCATGATTCCACTATAGGGGGCATGGGTTCAATCCCTGGTTGGAGATCTAAGATCCCACATATCGCAAGGCTGCCAAAAAAAAGAAAATTAAATTTAAAAGTAAATAAATAAATGAGACAGGGTATGCTTTCTTTATTTTCCAGAGATTAAATAGTTTTTGAATGGTAAGATATACCACAGAAGGATGTACTGAAATAGTACAAAAGGGTGTATAGTGAAAAGTAAATCTATTTCCTACCCTCCTTCTTTCTCAGTTCCCATCTCCAGGGACAACCACTGTCATCAAAGTGTTCTGTGTCTTATTAGAAATATTTTATGTACATGTAAACTTATATGTATATGTCCAGATGCCTTTCATCTGTACACAAGTGATATATGTTATTATTTCAGTCTGCACTTTGCTTCTCCTAAATAATTTAATCTCAGAAACTGTTCCACCTTTGTTTGTATAGATCCTCTTATTAATTTTAGTGGGGTTACCTCAAGATAGAAAAAGATGTCTTGAATAAGACTTAAAAAGAGCAAGGGTTTCCCAGGTGGCTCAGTGGTAAAGAATCTGCCTGTAGTGTAGGAGCTGCAGTTTTGATCCCTGGGTCAAGAAGATCCCCTGTAGGAGGAAATGGCAATCCACTTCAGTATTCTTGCCTGGAGAATCCCATGGACAGAGGAGCCTGTTGTGCTACAGTCCATGGGGTCTCAAAAGAGTTGGACACACACGACTTAGCAACTAAGCAACAATAAAAAGAGCAAATGATAAAGGAAAAGACTGATACATCTACCTATATTAAAATAAGAATTTCTATTCAGTGAAAGAGTGAAATGTTTTGCCACTTGGACTGTAGCCTACCAGGATCCTCAGTCCATGGGATTTTCCAGGCAAGAATACTGGAGTGGGTTGCCATTTCCTTCTCCAGGAGAGACCCAGAGATCAAACCTGGGTCTCCCTCATTGTAGGCAGACGCTTTACTGTCTGAGCTACCACACACACACAAGGGAGTGCTTAACCCAAAACTCAGAAGAATGATTACCTCTGGAAGTTGGGGGAGGGGTGAGAACAGGGAGGGGCACGCAGCGCTCTAAAGTGTTAAGCTGACTGATAACAGGTACATTGGAGTTTATCAACATTGTGTGTGTTAGTCGCTCAGTCGTGTCTGACTCTTTGTGACCCCATGGACTGTAGCCCACCAGGCTCCTCTGTCCATGGGATTCTCCAGGCAAGAATACTGAAGTGGATTGCCATTTCCTTCTACAGGGGATCTTCCTGACCCAGGGATGGAACCCAGGTCTCCTGCATTGCAGGCAGATGCTTTACTGTCTGAGCTACTAGCTGCTGCTTTATCAACATTATTTAAACTGTAAATGTTTATTATTTACTATGTGTCATATGGGTGACATACTTGGTGTATATTTGAAAACAATACACATGAACTTCCCGGGTGATCCAGTGGCTAAGACTCTGCCCTCCCACTGCAGCGGGCACTGGTTCCATTCCTGGTTGGGAAGATCCCGCATGCCCCAAGGCATGGGCAAAAAAATAAATAAAACAGTGCACACACATACACACAGAATACCTTTTTAGATCTCCTGGCTTCAGACATCGTTCTCAGTAAGTGCCCTCAATGTCCACACTCACAATAAAAATGGATAAAGAGGATTTCAGTGGGCCATTGAATGGAAGGCAGGACTGAGTGACTTCTTACCTCTTCTGATGTGACCCTGGTGTATTTGTGTTTCCCATAAGGTTTGTAGTCGATCATGTAGGAGCTTTGGTATATGTCCAGATCCACAGGGGCCTAAAGGTCAAGGGAGAACACTAAACAAGAGATTTCATCCTGTTGTTCTTCCACTTAAAGGCTTTCAATGACTTCTCATTGTTTGTAGGACAAAGGTTAACTTTTGAGCCTGGAATTTGGAGCTCTTCATGATCTGGCTTCTACTTGACTACCATCTCAACCCCCTTGGCCCAACTCTGCCCATTACCCCAGCCTCACTGCTTCTGACTCTTCCAAGTGGCTGGCACATATTCTTATCTCCGGCTAAGAACATAAGCTATATTCTTCACCTGCTAGCAAACTCCTACACATCCTCCAAAACCCATATTAAATCCCTTCCCCACAAATTTCTTCCTCCCATCTCTCTCTACCTTCCAACAATTAAACTCTTGTTCCTCTGCTTCTACGGCACATTTTACATCCCTCACTACAGCAGTTATCATGGTGTGCTATCACTCACTTAGTGAAGGATACTTGATTAGGATTTAATTTTAGGCATCTCTTCAACCTCAAAGCCCAGTGCATTGCCCAACACACCAAGGGTGACCAATACATGTATACTAAGCAAGTAAAGGAATCTCCAGAAAATTGTAAACTCTTAACTTTCTTCTGCTTATTTAAAAAAAAAAAAAAGAACACCATGTAGGGATGGTAACCAGAGGGAGCTTCAGGGAGCCTGGCCCTCCTTGGGGCTGTTTGTCAATGCTGACAATCTTGAGGTGGTCACAGCGATCAGAAGCTCACAACACTCACCTGTCCAGGGAACACCATGCCTGACATAGCAGACGACCTAGACACAGACAAGCTGGTTAGCCCCGCTTCTGCCACAGGCAGGGAAAATAGTCTAAAGCTCCACCAACCAATCACATTACTCAATCGCCAGGCACTGGTGATGGCAGCAGGGATAAATGGGTTGGTGGACAGGGGTCCTGGGGCAAGGGGGCTATAGCAGGACTCAGAGGGAATCACAGTTGTTGAGAACATCAGATTTACCCCTCAGGCAGAGGTGAATCTGGTAGCAAGGCAAGTGTTGTGCTGGTAAATGTTTAGCAATCTCCTTTTGGGCGGGGGAGGCAAATAAACTCCAGTTTTTAGCATTTGCAAAGTTCTGCTAAGTCGTTTCCACCCTGGCCCGTTTCGACCCATTCCAGTATTCTTGCCTGGAGAATCCCATGGACAGAGGAGCCGGACAGGCTACAGTCCATGGGGGTCGCAAAGACTCAGACAAGACTGAAGCGACTTAGCACTCATGCAAACAGAATGTGCTCCCAGAGCTGGGATGACTACAGTGCACGGGGTCCCTAGGAGCCAGGGATCTGAACAGCCCGGAGAAAGCAACGGTCAGGCCTGGAACTTAGAGGCATCCTGATGCAGAAGCACAAATTATGTTTCTAGTGGAGACCGAAGGGATCCAGGGTGAAGGTTTTGAGGCTCTGCATTCTCGGTGGACAACAGCCACGGATGGGTCCAATCACCCCCCAATCCTGATACCTTAGTGGGGAGGCCTTTCTGCCTGGGCTTGGGGGAGCTCTCTGAGCCCACTCTGTCTCATGTACTTGGCTCTCTAGGTTCTGGATGGCTCCTCCATTTCATTCCCATGGCATCCTGCCCTGAGCGCCATTCCATTCGGGGACCGTGGACCGTCAGGGTGGTTGACAGACCTCAAGTAGCCCCCGTGTCCCTTCCTTTTTGTGCATAGGCAGCTCCTCTCCCAGACATGGGGGAAACTTTAATGCAAACAGCACCTACCCTTCCTTCTGCCAAGAGGATAATTATGTTTCAGCCCTGCCAATTCCAAGTGTCCCTGCCACCTGGACAGTCTTGCGGCTGTGTCCCTCACCACAGCAGTCTGTGAGATGAACCCTGGCCCATACGATGTTGGCTATTTTGGTCACAGTCCCTGGGCATTGTGATGGGGTGACAGGCCAACCTCCTGTGTGTCAGTCCCCTTATCCCTGGCCGAGCCTCTCTCATGGAGAGCTGATGGTATTCTAGCATACCTGAGCCAACATGAAGCCTGGCAGCAGCGAAAGGTACCCAGGATGCAAGGCTTTCCAACGCTCTACTGAATCGGTCTATTTGCAGGTTAAAAAGAATCTCATAGGGATTATGACATCAGACTTTGTATGACTGAAACCACCTCATACCAGAGCCCTTCCAAGCGTCTGTTGCCTGAAAGCCTGGCTTATCCCTCCTCTGTCTGTCAAAATTCCACTCTCCTTCACAATTATTTGGATGGTTGTAATCCAAAACAAAAAATCGTAAGTGTAGACGAGAATGGGGAGAAACTTGTGCATTGCTGGAAGGAATGTAAAATGATGCAGCAACTGTGGATAAGTGCTTGATGGTTTCTCAAAAAATTAAGCATAGATTTGCCATGCATGCATGCATTTGTGCTAAGTTGCTTCAGTCATGTCTGATTCTTTGTAACACTATGGACTGTAGCCCACCAGGCTCCTTTGTCCATGGGATCCTCCAGGCAAGAATACTGGAGTGGGTTGCCATTTCCTTCTCCGATAGATTTGCTGTTTGATCCTGCAATTCCACCTCTGAATATGTACCTAAAAGAACTGAAAGCAGGGACTCAAACAGATATTTATACATCTGTGTTTCTGGCAGCATTATTCACAATTGCCAAAGGATGGAAACAACCCATGGTCCATCAGTGGATGAATGCCTGAACAGACCATAATGTATACACACTATGCAATATTACTCAGCCTTCAAAAGGAAGGAAATTCTGGCACATGTTAGATGTATGAACCTTGAAAACATGCTAAGTGAAATAAGCTAGACCATAAAGGACAAATATTGCACGATTCCATTTATATAAAATACCTGAGTCAAATTCATAGATACAGAAAATAGAATGGTGGCTGCCAGGGAGCTGGGAGGAATGGGTATCAAGTTTCAGTTTGGAAAGAAGAAAAAGTTCTGGAAATGCAGATTGGCGATGATTGTGCAACATTGTGAAAGTGTCTAATGCCACCAAACTGTGAATTTAAAATGGTTCAAATGATAAACTTTACAGATATATACTATTTGCATAAATGTTAATATATTTACTCTCATACACACAAATTCCACTCTAAGGGCCACCTCTTCCACAAAGCTTTCCTTGGTTTCTCTCCAGACACACTGTAGACTCCTTTCATTGACCCAATCAATATTTATTGAGGACTTATTTGGTGTTGGGCACCGTTCTGAACCTTGCAGATTCATCAGTGAACAAAATAGATGGAAATTCCTGCTTGCATAGGTCTTACATTCTGGCGTGAACAAGACATAGAGTAAACCAAGTACCAAGTGATTCAGCCTCCATTAGATCCAGCAAAGAACAAGATGAGGGAAACTTCCCTGGTGGTCCAGCGCCTAAGACTCTACGCTACCAATGCAGGGGCCTGGGTTTGATCCCTGGTCAGGGAACTAGATCCCACATGCCACAACTAAGACCCAGCATAGCCAAATAAATAATATTTTTTTTTAAAGAAGCAAGATGGGGGAATGACTGAGGCATTTCAGATTGGGGTGGAGGTTGTCCAAAAAGGAGAGAGATATTAAAGCAGCAATCTAAGCAGAGAAAGAACCAGCCCTGCAATTATATAGTTCCATATATACAGTAGGTCCTTGTTGTTCATATATTTTATGTATAGTAGGGTGTATCTATTAATACCAAATTCCCAATCTATCCCTCCTCCCCTTCCCTTTTGGTAACCATGAATTTGTTTTCTGTATCTGTGAGTCTATTTCTGTTTGTAAAGTCCATTTGTATCTATTTTTCTTTTAGGATCCCACATGTAAGTGATAGCATATTATTTTCTTTCTCTTTCCAAACTTACTTCACTTAGTATGATCATCTCTAGATCCCTCTCTGTTACCAGCAAATCATCTTTAGTTCCTTATTGATAAAACATATATCCATAGATTAGATGGGAAAACTAAAGGAGAAAAGGGCTTCCCCACTGGTTCAGTGGGGAAAGACCTGGAGAGAAGGGCTTCCTAGCATGGGGGTCAGGAGTGCAAAACTTGTAAGACAGGAACAAGAGTGGAACAAGAAGAGCCAAGGAAAGGAGTGGGTGAGGGCATGAAACCAAGAGAGGGAGCATGTTGTGCATCTCTGACTTCCCCCTTTTTCATTCCAGCTTCCCTTTAGAGAGCTGTTTCTCTCCCTTTCAGGAATCATGTAGTTTGAGTGGTGCTGCTCCTACCCCAGCTCTAAATGGGTGTTGTTGTTTCCAGAAAATTCCAGCTCTAGGCTACCATTCAGGGAGAGGATGGTGACCCAAGGTGGGCTGGTGAGGACCATCCCTAGCTCTTGGGAAAGAGGATCTGTCTTTTTGAGACAGTGTACCTCAGGGTCCCTATTTCTTCACTGAGAGTTGAAACACTGTGTTACACTTCAGACTTCCTCCAACAAGACTTCAAATAGTCAAGAGATTTTTGTGAAGCTTGTGATGGACCATGCAAAATATCACGTGGTGCCAATTTTTAAGTTTATACAGTGTGATTATTGTTTTTCAGTTGCTAAGTCGTGTCTGACTCTTTGAGACCCCATGCGCTGCAGCATGCAAGGCTTCCCTGTCCTTCACTGTTTTGACAGTCCATGGGGTTGCAGAGTCAGACGTGACTGAGAATGCACACATGCACAGGGCCAGGTTGGGTCTGATAAAAACAATAGTTATAGTGTGATACATGTTATTTTTCTGAAGTACACAACACAGATAAATTTCTCATGGTTCTTGCCTTCTCCTTCAACAGCATGTGTGTGTGTGTGTGGTTGGGGGGGCATCTTTTCCACACTCAGTAGGTATGAAAAAGAAACCAGAAAGCAAATCCTGGTTGTTGTTTTACTTTTAAGCCTAAATCACATACAAGTGTTAGCTTCCAATTGTGTGGGCTAAGATAAACTAAATTTCATAATACACCAACATGAGTTCATAACACACCAACACACACACACACAAAATAAATAACACACCAACACAAGTGTATTTCTGAAAGCATGGTTAAGGTGAAGTAAATGTTGTTTAAAAAGCACACACAAAAAGATAGTGTGTGGATAGGATTCAATAAACAGTGTATAGCAAAGCACAGAGCACAACAAAGGCTCTCAAAAAATCCTCCCCCGCTGCCTCTGGGAGGAGATTAACCTCTGCATCTTTATTTCTTTTCTTTCTTTACACTGAAGTGCAGTCGATTTACACTGTTTCAGGTGTAGAGCAAAGTGACTCAGTTATACACAAAAACACACATTCTTTTCCGATTCTTTTCCATTTTAGGTTATTGGAAGATATTGACTATAGTTCCCTGGGCTAGATAGTAGGTCCTTGCTGTTTATTTTATATATAGTAGTGTGTATCTATTAATTCCAAATTCCCAATTTATCCCTCCTCCCCTTCTCTTTTGGAAACCATGAATTTGTTTTTATCCCTCTCTGTAAGTCCATTTCTATTTTGTAAAGTTCATTTGTATCTATTTTTTTTTTAAGGATTCCACATGTAAGTGATATCCTATGATATTTGTCTTTCTCTGTCCAAACTTAACTTCACTTAGTATGATCATCTCTAGGTTCCTCCCTGTTGCTGCAAATCATCTTTATTTCCTTATTGACAAAATACATATTCATAGATTGGAAGGGAAAGCTAAAGGAGAAAAGGGGGTTCCCAATGGCTGAGCCGGCAAAGGATCCACCTGCAATGCAGGAGACACAGGTTCCATCCCTGGGTAGGGAAGATCCGCAGAAGGAAACTGCAATCTACTCCAGTATTCTTGCCTGAAGA